GAAAATAGCTCAAGCATAATCGACATATATCAATTATGTGAGGGCAAAGGCCTATCCCAGGCATACTGAGCATAAGGCGGGCAATCGTGATTGTCCTGTTCATAATAAATTGGTCCAACAAAATGGCGAAGAGGACTTCTTATGAGTAGGATCTCCATCCTCCAACTCAACATGAGCTGCTGGGGTATAGTTGCGGAAGAGCTACGCGCTCTCTCGCAAACCTATGACATCATGGCAGTCCAGAAACCGAGCTGCCGGGGGAACAAGGTCACAGGGTTTGGCCTCAAGTCAAGGGTTACAGCCTTGAGCAGTGGAGAGAGGAGGCCCAGTGCTGCTACAGTGGTTAACAACCCAAACTTCGATGAGGTGGATCTGAGGCAGTATACCATGGCGGATTGTGTTGCTTGTTATATTAGATGGGATGATATTGCCTTTACTCTGGTCTCATCATGCTTAACTGACGGAGGGGATATTGATGAAGACATATCTGCCATGGAGATGATCGATCACAGCTTGCACCAGGAATGTGATCATAGGCTCAAATACAAACTCCTGGAAAATGGTGTGGAGATCTAATCGAACTAATAGAAGGGGCGCTAAGCTCAGTCAATTCATCGAACAAAGCCTTCTAGTGGCTATGAACGATCCCTCTGCTACGCCAACATTTTCTAGCACTAGGAGGCACAGGTAGCATCACCAGTTCTGGCAAACCACATTATCGTTTGGGCCCTCAGATCAGAGACAAGTTCTGGCAACCAAGCTATAGCCTTTAGGCTGACGAAAAATATATATAGTTCCCTCGGCATTGAAAAAGGTTACCTAACTCAAAGAGGAAATTGGAGTACTTTCCGGTCATTGCTGGATGGAAAATTGATCCACGAAGACTGGGATGAGGCAGAAACGGAGCGAACAGATGACCTGGATTACCGAGTGTCCAGGATCACTGATGTCATCCGTGATGTCGCTGAAGAATCCCTTCAGCACCTTCTGATAAGGACGCGACCTGTCCTGTGTTGGACGCCAGCCTTAACCCCAATGACGAGAGAACTCTACAAGGCTCTGTGGTCATACCAGAGGTATACTTGTGAAGAGAGGCACAATACCTTTTGTGACGAGTACAAATCTAAAGCCAGGACATACCGAAACCAGGTGCGGTCAAGAAAGCAAAAGTCTTGGGACGAATTCATTGTTAAAGAATCATCCAAGAATCCATGGGATGTACCTTACAGAGTGATCCTTAGTTTGCTCCTGCCCCACAGCAGATAATTGCAGCATTGAAGAGCGGATCCTCCCAAGCAACCACTTTGGAAGAGAGTGCAAAGATGTTTTTAGCTGAGAACTACCCCAGGGATGATTCGTCCCAAGATAATGAAGAGGAAATATTCATAAAATGCACATGCACACCTGGTATGGACTTGTGCCCACCATGGGACTTATAGGATCTCCGTACTGCAGTGATTAAGCAAAAGACTGGTTGTGCAACTGGTTTAGATTCCATAGACGCAGCAATCCTCAAGAACAGTATTTTCTACATTGAACAGAGGCTTTTGGCACTGTTCAATGATTGTAAGGACAGAGGATACTTTCCTAGAAGTTGGAAAATTGCTGATGTCAGGCTCTTCTACAAGTGAGGAGACAAGGACAAGCAATTAGCCAAGTCTTATAAGCTTATATGTATCCTCCCTATAATGAATAAATTATTGAAGACACTGATAATGACAAGTCTACGATCAGTCTTCTCTAGAGCGAGCCATCCACGGCAGTACGGATCCACTAAAGGCAGGGGAACCGCCGATGCCCTGCTGAGAGTGCGCCATGATGTTGAAGAGAAGGCGGAGAAGTATGTCATGCTTCTCTTGTTCAACATATCCTCCGCCTTCGACAGCTTCTAGTGGCTGAGCGTACACCAGCAGTTGCACAAATATGAGGCTCTCAACAACTTATATGAACATTTAATATGCTACCTTCAGGACCATACTATTGAAGTATTGACCAAAAATTGAAGATAAAAGGTAGCTTCTTTGAAGTAGAAGATTCGATGGAACAAAGTTATCCGCAGGGTTTAGTTCTTGGTCTATCTCTATGGAAATTGGTCTTTGATGAGTTGCTGGGAGTGCTTGAACAGGAGCGGTTCCTATGTAGCGGTTCAGCCTATGTAGACGATCTGGGCGTTGTAGTGGCCTCGAACAGCAGAGCCAGAAGAAGCTGAACGGTGTGCCAACCTAGTAGGAGGGTGGTGCGAGAAAAAGAAAATGAAAATGGAGGCTGCCAAGACACAATTCATTCTTTTAAGGGGCAAGACTGACAGGACCCACCCTATTCATCTTAGTATACAAGGAGAAAGGGTACGTCCAATTAAGGCTGTTATTTATCTTGGCATAAGAATTGGGAGAATGTTCAACACCTCACTTGGACTACATGAAAAGTAGGGTGGCCCTGGCTCTCAATGGACTTAATCGCATCAGGCCTTTTGGAGTTTCAGGTACCCAGCCACATTGACTATTTATAAAGGAGTCATCATCTCTCGCATCAACAGAAGATAAGGTTAGCAACAATCCAGTGAATAGCTCTGCTGCAGGTCACTAGAGTGTACCGTACAGTGTCTCACAAGGGAGTACAGGTCTTTGCCGGAACTACGCTTATTGATCTTCTTCTACGAGAAGACTATTTTTGGCACAAGATGAAGAGGGAAGGCCTGGTGGATCTACCGGTGAATCTCCGTGTGAGGATCAATGAAGACCCTAATGGATGGAAGAGCATTCTTCGGAATAACATATTAAAAGAATGGAACCAGCAGTGGTTGACAACACCAAAAGGGGCTACTCTAAGAAAATACTTTCCCAACGTTAGTTCAAGATTAGAACAGACATGAGTTCTCCCGGACTACTGGGTCTCACAGTTCCTCATGGGGCATAGGGGTTTCCGAGCAAAGCTTGTTGAATATGGTAAGAACGTCGACCCCCTATGCTCAAGTTGCCTTTGAGGCACATAGGGCCAAGTTGTTGAGGGAGACGGAACTTTACATTCTGACGGAGAGCGATCTACCTCAACTAATGACTAAGGAGAACTACCCGTACTATACGGGTGGAAGGAACCCGTTGGCCCAACCCACTTTTCATTGGAAAGATGTGATGGACCTGCATCTGGAAGGAGGCCAGAGAGAGTGGAAGAGGCTGGCTGAAAATAAGAGCAGGCTGTGTGCACAGCTGAAAAAGAAATGTAATTGGTCTGAATGCAGAAGTGAGTTGTACGCATGTGCACCTGATTGCCTTGCCGGCTGGATATGATTTAAATAAATAAATAAGCAAGTACTTAATTTCATATTTCTTGAATTTTCACATCAAAATATTAAAAATTATGACCATAAGGATATTTTACACTTTTGACAGTACCAAAACTTTTTAAATAATACATTCTACAGCTAAATTAAAAATAATCTAATACTAAATTACATTTAGAAAGTAATATTAAAAAAAAAAAAACTTCTGGCAGAAATTCAAACTTTACCTGTTCAAAGGCATTAAAAACTGCCTTGAATGTAGGCTGCTTTTCACTATGAAACGTACCTCTAGAACCATGAAGAACACGGACCCCTGTTTTCTCAGGAGGGTGGCAAACACTCATATACATACAATGATCAGATCTATAGTTGTAGCTACAATCATACACATACAGTCGTTCTGAAACAAATATTGATAGTCAAAATGGAAGCCCTTACCCTTAATATGTTGTTATAAATTCAATATAATATTGTGAAATTAAATTTGTGAAATGTGCTGATAAGGAAAATTATATAATATAAATATAACTATTAATTTGGCACGATATTTTGATGCCTCCGAGCTTTCTCAAGAAAATCACTAAATGTGTCACACCTTTGTTAAAATTAATTCCATCCTAACAAGGTTACAATAGGAAGATCCTTACACAAATACATTCTACAAATTCATCATACAAAGAATAAACTAATACTATTGCTGATGTAACATGGAAAAACCAAATATTATTTGAAACACTATCATTTAAGAAATACTTTACTAAATATAGGAAGGAGGAGCAGAAATTCAATTACTAATCTGAAATAATAATCTACAGAAGAAGACAAAAACAAAAAAAATAATAAATAATAAAATAGGAAATCGTCAGATTACCAATAATAACAATAAGGAACAATCTCTACTCAAACTTTTAAAAATTACTGACAGTTTAAGCTGCAGGAGGCTCTGACTCTTGCCGAGTTATAGCACTAGTTAAGTAACCACTCAAAATTTGACTCTAACCATCCTAGTTGGTGGTGGTTTAAAACTTTTTTTGTACTTGTTTAACTAAATTAATATTTGTATTGTTGATTTATTCACTGTTTTTTTTTGTTTCTAATGTTCTGTTAATTTTTCTTTAATATATTTTTGTTGACTAATGTCCATATCAAAAGACACTAAAATATTACTATTCAGGTAATATAAGTTAATAATTCATACAAATAAAAATTGATTTTAAATAATTCACTTTCAGTTGGGTCTAATATAGAAGAAGAAATAGAAAAAAAATCATACCAACGTTCTTTAACAAATATTAAAAATAAAAATAAAGGTCTTTTATAGTCTAAATTTTAAATATTCGAAAATAGAGGGTAGCAGATGAATTCTAAATTGCCAATCTCTGTGAGAAGAAAAGATCAGGAGTTATGTTGAAACAAACATATCTTACTTTTCTAAGTTTCAGAATATTTTTGAAAATATGGATAACAGTAAATTAATAATAAATATGAAATCACATTATTAAAACAATAACCTGGATGAAAATGAAATATAATGTTGATTATGTCTTGATCGCCCCAAGTCATTTTTAGTTTATATTCATGTAAAATAGGCAGCAAGTATTTTTCCCAACCAAAGTTTCTCATTCTAGTTAAATTCATTAGCATTACACCTGAATTCACACCTGAAAAAATTATATTGGTTTTTTTTAAATACTATTACTAATAATTGGTTATCAAAACATTAAAGGATAATGATTTCACCTAGTTCTCCATAGTAAGGATGCCTAGCAAAACGATTATACCAGCCTGTATTACGATCTTCATGTTCAGGACTCAAGGCAGCTAGCTGCGTTGAATTCATCCTATCAAAATGTTCCCAAATCTCATCCACAGGAGAAAGAAATAAAACATCAGTATCCACATACAAAACAGAGTCTACATTTTTTAGAACACTCTGAAAAAAATTACAATTTATTAATTATTAGCCACGAGACTTACTCAATTGAACTCTAATATAGTTTATGTATTATATATTATAGTCATCTGGTAGTAAAAGTGAAAAGTATTGCATGCTTTTAACATGGAATCCCTATATAGATTATTAAGACCTGAAAACAGATTAATACCAAGCTCCTGTCATGTTCAAATGCCATGAATGGGGTACAATTGGATTCAGAATTTCACAGTGAGTTAGTGAATCATACTCTTCATTTCTGTTTATAAAATAAATAAAGTCAATATAAAGATTTCGCTAGTCTTCAATAATGGGACAGTGGTAAGTCAGTGGATCAAGACATTTCAATTTGAAGCGGACTTTAAGACCCGTTAAGTTCTATCAAAACTATTAGCATTGGGGTAAATTGTCCCCGCTGCAGACAATTGCAGCGTTGCGGTATCATAATACTCAGGCAACCACCCTTGAAGAAACTGTCAATGTTTTCATTGAAGCAATATATCCCAGAAATGACCCAACCCAGGACAGCCAAAATGATGATTTTGTGAGACACACCACGGTATATCCACCTGGTTCAGATTTGTGCCCACCGTGGGACATTCACGATCTTCGTATTGCCATGGATAAGCAGAAGACTAATCGTGCTCCAGGACTTGATGCAATAGATGCAGCGATCTTGAGGAACAGTATCACGTATATTGAAGACCGGCTGTTGAGTATTTTCAATGAATGTCTGGATATGGGATACTTTCCAAGAAGATGGAAGATTACTGATTTGAGACTACTCTACAAGGGAGGAGATAGGGACAAACAACTCCCTAATTCATATAGACCTATATGTCTCCTCCCTGTGATTAGCAAGGTCCTGGAGAACCTCATAATGACTAGTTTACGACCTGTTTTTGCTAGAGCAAGTCATCCACGGCAATATGGATCAACCAGAGGCAGAGGAACCGCTGATGCCCTGCTGAGAGTGCGCAGAGATGTTGAGGAGAGGGCGGAGCGGTATGTCACGTTGCTCCTTTTCGACATATCTTCCGCCTTCAACAGCGTATGGTGGCCTAGCGTGCTCCAGCAGCTGCAGAGGAACAATGCTCCCAGTAACTTATACACACTAGTAAGAAGTTACCTCCAGGACAGAAGTGTGAAGATTAGAGGCAATTACTACGAGGTAGAAGCTTCCATAGAGAGAGGTTGCCCTCAGGGATCAGTGCTTGGTTCTGCTCTATGGAAGCTCGTCTTTGATGAGTTACTGGGAGTGTTAGAGGAAGAGCGGTTTCCTGCCACTGCTTACGTTGACGACCTATCTGCTGTGGTGGCCTCCAACAACAGAGCTGGAGTCAAGAGAGAAGCAGAGCGATGCGCCGGCTTAGTTGCTAGATGGTGTGAGGGGAAGAAGATGAGGATGGCTACTGCCAAGACTCAAACCATCCTCCTTAAGGAAAAGACCGATAGGGCACACCCTATAACGATGTACATAGAAGGCCAGAGGATACGTTCAAGTGAGGTGGTAACCTACCTAAGGGTTTGGTTAGGTGTAGGCCTGAATATGACGCCTCATTTGGAATATCTGGCGGGTAGGGTGGCACTAGCAATAAACGGTCTAAGTCGTGTAGGGGGCGCATTTTGGGACCTGAGGTATCCAGCCACTACCACTATTTATAAGGGTGTTGTGGAGGGTATCCTGAGGTATGCGTCTCCCTTCTGGTTCCGAAACCTCACACTCAGACAAAGAATAGGCTAGCATCGACTCAGAGGACTGCTCTGCTTCGGGTCACCAGAGCATATAGGTCTAAATCGCATGTAGCAGTGCAGGTCTTAGCGGGGTTGGTGACTCTCGACCACCTCCTGCGAGAAGAAGCGACCAGGTACAATTACAAGGGGGAGGGTTCAACAGGTCTGTCGGAGAACCTACTGATGAGGATTATTGAAAACCCAAATAAATGGAAAAAATTATCCGGGAAAAACAATTGAAGATTGGAGCAGACGGTGGGTGACGACTCCGAAAGGCAGTACCTTAAGAAAATACTTCCCCACCGTTGAATCTCGGTTACAGGCAAATGGGTCCTCCGGGACTATTGGGTTTCACAATTTCTCACGGGGCATGGGGGTTTCAGAGCTAAACTTCATGGCTTCGGACAGGATATAGATCCCCACTGCCTTGCTTGTGGTATTCCGGAGACGGTTGAGCATGTGGTCACGGCCTGCACTGCTTTCAACGAATTAAGAGCTAGGTTAATGAGAACCACGGGAATTTACGTCCTCACTGAGGAGGAGTTTCCTCAGTTGGTGAGTGAAGAAAACTTCCCGCGGTTCAAAGAGTTTATAAATGGCTGGAAGACGGCGATGGGCCCAACTCACTTCAACCTAGGTGCAAGCAAAAGGAGAAGACGACCAGTCCCAGGAAGAACTCCAGATTTGGGAAGCCAGGCCTAATTTGCTGAAGAATGAGGAAAAGTAGAACAGCAAGCTGTGTGCACAGCTTAGAATTTTGTAAACCGATATTATGGCAGTAGTGTGTTATTATGCATTAATGCTTAACATCACACTACTGCATACACCCGTGTTGCCCTGGTGGCATGGGAGGGTGGAAAACAAATAAAATAGATAGATAGATTCTGGACTAACAACTAATATGTAAAATGTGTGTTGAATTTTCAATTCTTGCAAGAAAAATATTTTAACTTTCTGCATGAATATTTCTATCTTAAATAATGAGAATGCAAAAATAACAAACATGATTGTAACAAAAAACATAAAAGAATCCAAGTAGTGTCATGATTAATTAATTTAGAGAAACCATTTAGCAGCATCCATAGGGAAGAGAAGAGATCAGAATACTCCTGCCACTTTTTAATTAGTATTTTGTAAACTGATTACCATTCTTCCTCTTACAGACAAGCAAAAAATTTAATGGTTAAAATTGTTTATGTACTTAAAACAAAGTAAAATAGATTTTATAAATAATAATATTAATGTAACATTATCAGTGAATCTAACACAAAACTACAGCATACAAATTTAAAAAGAAATTTAATATTAATCATTAATGTTGAAATCAGATATTATAGCATTTGAGAACGATAACCAACAACATAATCCATATAAAAAAGATGATGATATTAAAATAATATGTTATTAAAAATTATAACCACAACTTACTGGTAAGAAAAGTCTTTGTGATGCACAAGGTTTGAATAACTTCTTCCACTCTTCAGCCTGAGTTTTAGGAAAGGAAATTGGATGTGTTTCAAAGCTAAATGAATTATTCTTAGCAACCCATTCAGATAACTAAAAAGAAATATTTCTGTATAATTTAAAGATATTTCATAACTACACTACATTAAAATACTTTATATACTATTAGGTACTGATTACAGCAATATTAGTGCAGTATTATAAGAAAAGCATGGATTCGGAGTTGGGTATAGTTATGGCTAATAATTTACAGATAAACATTTAATAAGATTAATGGATTACTATTATAACAAAATGTAATGAAATTGAAAGAAATTTCTTATTTTATCTTTCAAAACATCACACCATAGATAACATACCGTTTCTTCAAAACTTTCGATTAATTCAGGTTCAGCAACGATTATCACTTTCAAATTGCATTTCCTTGAAAATACAATCGCTGATTTGATTAAAACTAATGTCTCACGTACTCTATCTCCACAGACCACAACAGACAAGGCTACATCTTTCTTCTTAATGCTGAAACGGTAAGAAAGACAAAATGATTAATCAATGAGAAAGTTTATAAGTTTTTATAAAACCAATAATCAAAAAGTAAAATACCTATGAACATCGGTGAGTAGTTTATTTTCGAAGTAGTTTATTCCTAAAGTTTCTGAAGAATTCAAGTACACAAATCTCACTGAATAAAAATAATCATAAACATCATAGCCAGTGATTATTATATAAAGAATGAGAGCAATAATTAAAGAAATAAAAATTCTAGCACTCAGTTTCATTTTATAATACTAGTGAAACATGACACTATTACTTTGGGCATCATAAAATTAACTCTTTTACTTTTATAAAAAGATTTAACATCTTTATCGGACATAAACAAAACCTTCCCGCGACTTTGCTGTCAAATATATTGTAAGGTACAAAAGGTCTGACAGAGAAGTTGAAATCGGTCTTGTTCGGTTCGTTCAATCGAAATTTTATATTTTTTTCTACTCTATGTAATTGTTATTTTATAATTATTTTTGTATTCAAACCTGTCATTCAGGCTTTGATAATATGAAGATGAAAAAATAATTTTACTCTGGGACTAAAGTTCAATGAGAATAATAATGACATGGTACAAAACATTGGTCCTTGGTTTGACAGAATACTAAGAGATCATTTGGATGTTAATTTCAATTCTTAACGCAATCATAGCGGAATAACAATAGTAAACACTTTAACACTAGTACATTTTATATGGTTTACATGTATACAAAGAAAAAGTAAATAAATAAATGAAATAAAATTAAATGGAATAAAATTAAATGAAACTTGACTATTAATTATTAGTGAGAAGTTATAATTACAGAAATCGATAAGTATTACATAGATACGTCAGTTTGAAAATGAAGTAGGTGGTGGAATAAGAGTTGTTTGAAGGAATTTAAGGTTGAGGATTGCCGTATGGGTATGGGTAAAGAATTCCAGAAGGAGGTAGCAATAATGACGAAGGATTTGTTGAAGGATGTAGTTTCATGAGAAGGGATATATAAATCAATAGGCTGAGATCTGGTATTAATAGAGTGGGTAGAGGAACTTAGAGTGAGGAGTTCCATAATATAGGGAGGATATTTGGTTCTTAGGACCTGGAAGAGGTAAACATCAAGAAGGAATTGTCGTCGGGAAGTAGGATAAAACCACTTCCCAGTGAGAAACATGAGAACGCCTGGGAATTCCAATGGGGAATATTATAAAACAGTTCATAAGTCTCTTCAATTTCACCTCCAGTATCTGGTCCTATTCATCATAACCAGGATCTGGTCTTAGTTGATATGATAGGCATGCCAGGCATGACTTCAATACCGATAGGTACATCCAACTTGAACATTCTTGAATAAGGATTTACTCCAGAAGATCCCATTAACCATTTTATTGAGTATGTATTGTGATTAGGATATACGTATCGTATCCATTTCTCTATTGGAAACATACCTATGTTGGTATGTCAATTGATTCTCAAATGTATTTAGTCCGAATGTGATTATACTATCAAAATGTGCAATTCTGTATGTATGGTCGCCAGTTTATTGTAGGTGGCCGGGTGTGTTAAGACGACACAACCTTCATTCGTACAATTCTAGCGGCACCGATTCTAATCCAGTCTGGTTAGGTTTTAATTTATTTCTTGACGGATCCACGGAATGAATATCTACTGTACATTCTACTTAGAATTGTCTGGTTAAATCTGTAGAATAATTTCCCACTATCCATACGAGAACTGATCAGATAGCAGATAAGGGGGGGGGGGAAGTTACTTAATTTGCAGCTAGTCAACTTGCTACTCACCTCCAATGTGGCCTGCAAGTGATCAGTGTGTCCCTGACCTAACGTGATCAATCGATGGGGGCGGAGTTGCCGAGCGGGCTTACGCGTGTATAATACTCGCGGTTCTAAGCAACTTGATAAACTGAAGTTAATATGATAAAATAATTACAAGTTCGCGTCCCGGTACCGGTGGGGCTTCTGATTAATCCCCTGGCCCGGGAATATCTCTGTATAGTCGAAAAGGCGAGGAAGAGGAGGACAAAAAAAAAAAAAAAAAGGTGATCATTCTTTGATTTTATTGAGACACTAAGTATTATCAAGAACACACCCAGTTAACGAATGCAATTTATGTTTAGTTTCTTACACATGAACAGCAACAGATCTTTTTTTTTATTTTTAAAACTAATTTAACCATATTTGAACTCTAAAATTATTAGAAAATTGCTACAACTAACTACTGTGAACACTAAGTGAAGCTACGTGCTTAATATAACATATTATCAAACAATAGTGTCTACATCACTAATAAATTCACTAATCTCTAAATTTTTCTCATATATATATATATATATTATTTAATTACCTATACAAAGTTAATCAGTCAATATTTTAAAATTATTTATTTATATGTTTTAACATCCCTCCTCATTCAAAACACATCCTAAAAATAACAATTCATAATGATATCTACAAAAATAGCTCTTGTATTATAAAAAAAATTACTAACTAATAATCTCAAATAATTTGATAGTCAATTCAATACAATAAATTATTTTTATAATAGTTAGTTAGCATTAAACATTTTTTTCACAATCAAAGCACGGCTTTGAAGATATTCAATTTTGATGTTCACTTTTAAATATTAGCATGATTTGTAGGTGAGATTTACAGTAGTCACTCCAAACTCATCATTTGTTTCAAATATGACTGGTTTACCACAATATGACCAACTAAAAAATAAAATGTAATAAGAATAAAATCTTAATTATTTAATCAAATAATTTCTAAAAACAAAATACTTACAAATCTCCATCTAGATTAGCTATGCGGACGTACTCTGCTACAATTATCTCACCTATCATTCGGGGTGCATATCGAAGTACAAGAGTTACTGTCACATTGGAAAGTTGTGAATTGTATAACCCATACATTGATGCTGATAACCCTCTGTATACATATCCTTGAAAAGGATCTCTTGGCCTAAAATGTTGTCCATATATTACTGTTAGTTGCACCAAGTATCATATGTTATAATATAAGTATATTATGGCAACTTTGCCAAATTAAGTGATTCAAATGATACTCAGATCGTATTTGATGAATTAATTAAGAATAAGAAATTAAACCTTTCAACTCGTTTCTCTAATAAGTAATAAAGTAACTTTCTCTAATAAATAATAAAGTAAATTTCTCTAATAAAATAATAAAGTAAATGGGTGACATGCTTAGCGGCTGGGCCTGGCCGGAATGGTGAAGTAATAATAATAATAATAAGGCTTAGCGAACCCGAAGGTTCGATGCCGACACCACCAATCGCTTGTTACACACCTCCCTCCACCGTTCGCCGTCCAAACCCAGTCCCTTCAGATCAGCTTTAATGCAATCTTCCCACCTTCGCTTCGGTCTACCCCTCCGACGCTTACCATTCGGCACAGCAAATATTAACCTTTTAGGAATTCTCTCGTTACTAAGCCCAACAACTTTACAAGCCCATTTGATTCGCCGCGATGAAATTACCTCAATTATATTACCCGGATATAGCTCACGCAATTCGGCGTTGTGTAACCGTCTGAACTCTCCGGTTAACTCATCCTTCTTCGGTCCGAATATTCTACGCAATACTTTATTTTCAAAAACCTTAAGACGCTGCTCATCCCTTAATGTAAGCGGCCAAGTTTCGCATTACCTCCCTAATGGCATGTTCCAATGCCAAATTGAACAGTACAGGCGAAAGGGAATCCCCCTGTTTTAAACCCGAACGAACCTCAAATTTTTCCGACAGATTATTACCGATCCTAACTTTATTGAGTGTCTCCGTCAAGCACATCCTGACTAGATTTACTAGTTTTTTTGGAATTCCCTGCTCGATTAGAATATTATACAGTTTCTGGCGGTCAATAGAATCGTAAGCCTTTTTAAAATCTATATACAGCTGGTGAACAATACCGTTATACTCCAATTTTTTCTCTAATATTTGCCGTAAAGAAAATATTTGATCAATAGTCGAACGATTCCGTCTAAATCCGCATTGGTAGTCTCCGATAATTTCCTCGGCGTATTCCGTGATTCGACTGGTTAAGATTACAGTGAATATTTTATAACATACCGGAAGGAGTGAAATTCCTCGATAGTTATTACAATCCGTCCTCGGACCCTTTTTGTGAATCGGAATAAGAATAGATTCTTTCCATTCTTCAGGTAATTTCTCGTTCACCCAGATCTTTTCAACCAACCGATGTATTTTAGAAACTCCAGCTTCCCCGCATGCCTTAATTAGTTCAGTAGGAATATTATCGATTCCCGCTGCTTTATATGATTTTAATTTACCGATAGCTACTTCAACTTCCTCTTTACTTGGTCCTTCTATCAACGGTTCAGCACTCTGGTACTCAGAAGGAGGACAGCGATCATAATTTCCCGTATTTAAAATATTGTCAAAGTGGTCCTTAAACTTATTCAATATGTCAACCGGATCGGTCAGAATATTGTTATTATCATCCCTAATTACAGACGTAACGGGCCCTACATATTTACGTGATATGTTTATACCTTTGTACATGTCTCTTACGTTATTTTGGATTCTATTAGTTTCTATTTCAATTATTTTATTTTTAAGATACTCCCTTTTTTTATTTTTGAGCAATTTTGTCGTTTCGTTCTTTGAGATTCGGAAGTATTCCAGATTGTCTTCGCTAGGATTATTTAGAGCTTTTAATTTAGCGGCTTTCCTTTTTTCGCACATGTTTAAGCAATCTTCATCAAACCACGGTTTGTTATTCTTATTTTCCTTTTTTCCTAGACACGAGTTACCGACCGCTTTAATATTATCCCTGATCTCTACCCATAACTTGTCAATATCCTCGTGGTCCTCGTCAGGAAGCTCTAAAGCTTCAAACCTATTCTTAACATCTAGCTCGAATTGGTTTCTAATTGATGGATTTTTTAATTTTTCCAAATTAAAATTCTCAAAATCGAAACGGTTTTCTTTTCTCTTTTTTATATTAAGTTTTTGTCGAAGTTTCGCGATTACTAATTCATGATCCGACCCACATTCTGCTCCGCGATAAGACCGTACATTGATTATACTGCTTTGCCAGCTGTGTTGTATCAAGACATGATCGATTTGATTTCGTGTTTGCGAATCCGGCGATGTCCAAGTATATTTATGAATATCCTTACGTTTAAACGTCGTACTTTTAATTACCAGGTTTTTCGAGATGGCAAAGTTTATCAGACGGATCCCATTATCATTACTATATTCGTGCAAACTTTCTTTACCAATCGTCTGAATATAAACTTCTTCCCTTCCTACCTTTGCGTTCGCGTCACCTACAATTATTTTCATGTAGTTTCGCGGTAGTTTATCATAAACCCATTCGAGTTTATCGTAAAATTCACTTTTGACTTCATCGTCACTGTCTTCGGTCGGACAATGTATGTTTATTAATGCGATTTTAAACCAACGTCCCTGAAATATAGCTACCGAAATTCTATCACTAAAGAATTGTACGTCCCTCAAAGCGGATAGTAATCTACTCCTAATTAGAAACCCGGTACCTAAACAATGATTCCCGCTTCCTCCGTACCAAATAGTGTACTTTCCTTCCCTCATCGAGCCCTCCCCTGGCCAGCGAACCTCTTGCAGAGCCACGACATCCAAATTGTATCCATTTACCTCATTCGCGACCGATTTTAGCCCCCCTGCTGTGTTTAAACTCCTTACGTTCCACGTACCAATATTTAAATCCCTATATTTCAACTTGCGGCATGAATCCCCTAAAGCAGTCCCCACACGGAGAACCGAACGGGGGACTAGTTTACCTCCGGATAATGAGCGTTTTACCTTAGGGAGATCCATGACTTTTTGTGGTGTTTGGTGAACTAAAGATATGTGAGTAGGGCGTTCAATCCTACGTCACACCCTCCAGCAAGTCTGGTGGGCCCCTACCTCCAGCAAGTCTGGAGGTCCCCTCCCTCCAGCAAGTCTGGAGAGCCCCTCTCATTGTTGGTCAGCGAGTCCATCGGACTTAGCCGGGAGGAACTTCCAAGGAATTTCCACCGACCATCCCCACATCCGCCACCCGCGGGACGCTCCCCATACGCGGTAATGAGCCCGCGCGAGGGGAATGGTGAAGTACAGACAAATATAATTTCCATTATATGCCTTAAAATTATAATAAATAGTTTGAAGGTATTAAACTTTAATTAATTAAAATTAAAGGATGTTTTTAAAATTTTAAACTTGTTTGTTATTTTATACTGTAGCTAAGGTTCAGGATTTGGGAATGGAAATAAATTCAGCTTCACTTAAGTAAAGGCCGTTCAAGTGTGATGAAGGTGGACAACAAATATCACTTCGTCGTTAACGGTACCAATATGAAGAAGTTACTTATCTTGAATTGATGGAAATATTTGAAAGCGAAATTTAGTTTGAAATATGTATGACAGTTCCGCTCAGATAATTGGCGAAATATCGTTAGTGCAAAATGCTCTCCTAAAGTCTGCATGAAAATTAACTGTTGTAAGAAAATATTTTATCCCTTAATTTGTTATTTAAACTATTTTCATACAACTATAAAATTTGGATTTAATATTTAAGTAATACAATCAAGTATATAATTTAATAAATATTTAAACTTACTCATTTCGAAGTTCGAACGAAGTGGTATCATCTTCGACTTTGGCCGACAGTAGAATATTACTTCTAGGTTTTAGTCCATTTTTTGAAAGAACTACTATGCTTTGCAATTGATCACCTAAAAGAAGAGAAAACCAAAGTAGGAATTATGATATTCTCAATTTCCCATTGTTTGAGAAGAAGATATATTAAACGAAGGGTGTTGGTTCTGGTTGTTACTTGGATTGGTATCGGTATATAATAACTAGCCAGGAATCATGTAAAAGAAAAGCTTATTAAATATATATACATTCACCCACACACACATACACGCACGCACTCTAGTAAACATGTAGTATTATTTTCATTATTATATAGGGGTTCCAACAAGAGTTGTCTTTCATATCAGGACTGACGTAAATATGTAATAAAATATGAAAAATATATAAGAATCGGAATCTTAAAAGTTGATATTAAAAAAAATCTATGAATATTTATGAACATAGAGAAATAATTATTATATAGTTTATATGAGAAGGAGTTGATCGGGGGGTACTGTCAAATAAATACTAAAGTATACAAATAGTATTATTTAACTTAACCCACTTTGCAGGTCTTCAGCAGGGCGTAGGATGTAGCACTGCGGGAGGCAGTTGAAACACTGGCTCATATAGTAACATATTATATTATAGTTTATAATTAATAAAATATAAATACAAGATTATGGCTACGTATTTTGGAGAGAGAGATAGAAGAAGTGAGATAAGAAAGTTCACAAGAATATCTATTGATGGAAAAAATACTCTAATAATGCCAATATTTGTGGAAGCCGTGATGGGCAAGCAGCTTAAAGCGCTTGTAATAGATAATCAAAGTTAAGGAAGCGTGGAAGTTCTAAGATGGGTGCCCGAATCAGATGACTGTCCACCAGGAAAAATCGAGCTGCACAATATCCCATTCTCTTGCACAGCCGCGAAATTCTAGCAACAGCTATAATATAAAAAATATAATTTGGTAAAACTGATATCTACTTGATCATTTTTTTTTTTCAATAGAATTCGTTAAAAATGTATACAGCGTTATTGCTTCACTTCTCTTTCAATCTTACTGTAACTTTAAGCCAAACCGAAAGAGCCGGTATTGAAATATAGACGTGTCTAGAAAAATTACACGTGCGACAAAAAAAAAAAAAATACGGAGAAGGTAGTGGATGGAATTTGATGAAACTGATATGGAAACATTTACTTACTTACTAACAAAACCATGAAAATTGCATTAACGGTAGCAAATGATATGCCAGTTGGTAACAAACCACGGGTGATAAATATTCAGGACGCAGTCATTATAAAGTTTTTATTAGTGCCGACGTTTCAACCCAAACATGTGGGTCATCATCTGGGGTGTAATTTCAGCCTTGATGATGACCCATATTTTTGGGTTGAAACATTGGCACTAATAAAAACTTCATAATGACTGCGTCCTGAATATTTATCACCCATGATATGTAGAACAATCGACTAACTTCCTTCAGTAAGTAACAAACGTATAACAACAGTCTAAATTTTCGATCTTAGGCATTTTTTTTTTAACCTTCCATACGAATACAAAAGCTTCCATACCTTAGCGTGGGGAAGGGAAAAAATAATTGTATTTGTTCAACAACAATTAAATTGGTATAAGGAAGCTTCATGAATATTTATTTAAGTTAACGTTCAAGCCTCACATTTTCAATTACTTCCACGAATATTATAAGGAATTGATTACTTAATAGTTTTACGCATGATGCTTAATTTTATAGACTACCTCAAACGAATATTTCACGAATAACTTTTAAACTCATCTTAATCAGTTTCCGATCCTCCAGTAGTAGGTGATAGGTAATGAAAGGCAAAACTATAAAACGAAGTGTGTCTCATGAAATATAGTTTACATTCCGCAACATTTATCATAAGTAATGAGGTTTGTAGAAAATAAAAAAAATAAACAATTGAGCGGATTTTATTTATCGGTAAAAAAAAAAGCAGAAAACTTCTTGTCTTAGAATTATTGCTTCCAATACAAAAGCCATGCGGAGTTCTGTCAAGGAACTCGCAACTCTGGAATTGTGAGATAAGGAGATTCGATAACAGAAACTAGCTAAGCTAAGGAGGACAAAGGTTGTTTTATGTATGGATGGGAGATATTTCAAACAGGCAATCATCTACCAGACAAGAAAGATTGTTATAATTTCAACAAAACAAATGAAAAAAATATTTGGTGTTCATAAAAATTTTAGTATGAAGGCGATCATACATGTCTTGAAAAAAATGCACCAGCACACTATGTTAAGATTATAAGGTAATTAAGTTTATTAACAGCTAATAAAATCAATTACTTTATAACCCGTTTAAGCTTAACAGATTATAACTTTATTACGTACCACTCCTTCCTGAATTCCTTAGGACACCATTTCATCCTAGGTGCAGATTTAAATGCAAAACACCAGCAATGGGGAGCCAGATCCACAAATTCCCGAGGGCGAACATTGCTATCTGCACTTAATTCCCATCGCAGCAATATCCTTTCACCTAATACTCCCACATACTGGCCAACAGATCCTAACCGCAATCCCGACCTTCTAGACTTTTTCCTACACAAAGGTCTAGGATCATTACACTGTTCCATTTCAAGGCTTGATGATCTTTCCTCAGACCACAGTCCTATAGTCCTAACCGTTTCCACATCACCCATTCCTAAATCATTCCCTCCTTCATTCATCAGGGGACCAGTTAACTGGAACCTTTTCCGTCAAATATTGGATGATAATATAGACCTCAGAGTTTCCTTAAAAACACCTGAAGACCTTGACGATGCAGTGGACTCCTTCACTACCCTGATCCAGCAAGCAGTTTGGACTACATCCTCACCTGATGGTCCCAAAAAAACACCTCAGTATAAATCCTCTACCCCAAGACCTATTGGACCTTATCCATAGCAAACGATGCTCTAGGGCCCTCTGGCAAAGAACCAGGAATCCTGATGACCGGAAATCGTATAATTATTATTCCAAACAGGTTAAAAAGAAACTGGATATCTTTAGAACCCAATCCTACAATTCCTACCTTTCCTCATTATCATCTAGTGATAACTCCCTCTGGACTGTAACTAAAAAAATCCTTAAATTCCAATCCATTTCCCACCCCCTCCGCCGTGATGATGGTTCCTGGGCTTCGTCAGATGCGAATAGAGCTGAAGAGTTTGCTAAACATCTATCCTACACATTCACTCCTCATCCCGAACTCCATCCCACCCACACTGCTGAAGTTAAAGAATTTCTCTCTTCACCAATTCCTCTCTCTCTACCTCCAAAACCTGTTAACCCCTCTGAGGTAAAATTCCTCATAAAAAAATTAAAACCCCGAAAATCCCCTGGATATGATCTCCTCAGTACACAAATCCTTAGACAACTTCCCAAAAAAGCAATCATATTCCTTACCTATCTATACAACTGCATCCTTCGCACAACCAACTTTCCTTTGGTGTGGAAACATTCCATAATCGTGCTGTTTCCAAAACCAGGCAAACCCGTTAATAACACATCATCCTACAGACCGATAAGCTTACTCCCTATCCTCTCAAAAATCTTTGAGAAAATCCTCCTCAAACGCATCCTACCCATACTCGAATCCCACAACATCCCTTCTCATCAATTTGGATTCCGCTCAAGACATTCCACTGTCCAACAAGGCCTTCGTGTTGTGGACCATATATCCTCTGCACTTGAAAACAAGCAATATTGCACTGGTGCCTTTCTGGACGTAGCGCAAGCTTTCGACCGGGTGTGGCACGATGGCTTGCTTTTCAAGCTCAAAATCCATTTACCCCAATCCTTATACCTAGTCCTCAAATCCTATCTCTCAAATCGTTCCTTCCAAGTCCGTTGCTGCACCGAATTCTCCACTTACTATCCAGTTGAGGCTGGTGTTCCACAAGGCAGTGTTTTGGGCCCAGTTCTCTACATCCTTTTCACTGCCGATATCCCTTCAAATCCCGATACCTTCCTAGCTACATTTGCTGATGATACTGCCATTCTATCTTCCCACTCAGATCCTCAAATAGCATCTCTAAACCTACAATCTCACCTCTCCTTGATTGAGCAATGGTGCAACAACTGGCGCATCAAAATCAATGAATCAAAATGCAAACATATCACTTTCACCCTGCGACGCAGATCCTGTCCGCCAATCCTTTTCAATTCAATTCCACTTCCCTACTCAGATACAGTCCGTTACCTTGGCTTCCTTCTAGACAAAAGACTAACTTGGAACCCACATACAAGACTTAAAAGACAAGAACTTAACCAACGATATGGCCAGCTATATAGACTACTAAGCAGGACATCTCATCTTTCGATTGAAAATAAACTTTTAATCTACAAGATAATACTGAAACCTATCTGGACCTACGGACTTGAACTGTGGGGAACTGCTAAACATTCGAATATCAAACGCATCCAATCCTTCCAGTCCAAAGTACTTTTTTTTTTTTTTTTTATTTGTTTTCCACCCTCCCATGCCACCAGGGCAACACGGGTGTATGCAGTAGTGTGATGTTAAGCATTAATGCATAATAACACACTACTGCCATAATATCAGTTTACAAAATTCTAAGCTGTGCACACAGCTAGCTCTTCTACTTTTTCCTGGCTCCTTTAGGCCTGGCTTCCCGAATCCGGAGGTCTTCCTGGGACTGGTCCTCTTCTCCTGCGTGCACCTAGGTTAAAGTGAGCTGGGCCCACCGCCGTCTTCCAGCCATTTATAAACTCTTTGAACCGCGGGAAGTTTTCTTCACTCACCAACTGAGGAAACTCCTCCTCAGTGAGGACGTAAATCCCCGTGGTTCTCATTAACCTCGCTCTTAATTCGTCGAAAGCAGTGCAGGCCGTGACCACATGCTCAACAGTCTCCGGAACACCACAATCGGGGCAGTGGGGATCTATATCCTGTCCGTAGCCATGGAGTTTAGCTCTGAAACCCCCATGTCCCGTGAGAAATTGTGAAACCCAATAGTCCGGGAGGACCCATTTCGCCTGTAACCGAGATTCAACGGTGGGAAAGTATTTTCTTAAGGTACTGCCTTTCGGAGTCGTCACCCACCGTCTGCTCCAATCTTCAATTGTTTCCTCCCGGATAATCTTTTTCCATTTATTTGGGTTTTCAATAATCCTCATCCGTAGGTTCTCCGATAGACTAGTTGAGCCCTCCTTCTTGTAGTCATACCTGGTCACTTCTTCTCGCAGGAGGAGGTCGAGAGGCACCACCCCCGCTAAGACCTGCACTGCTTCATGCGACGTAGACCTATATGCTCTGGTGACCCGAAGCAGAGCAGTTCTCTGAGTCGATGCTAGCCTATTTCTTTGTCTGAGTGTGAGGTTTCGGAACCAGAAGGGAGACGCATACCTAAGGATACCCTCCACAACACCCTTATAAATAGTGATAGTGGCTGGATACCTAAGGCCCCAAAATGCGCCCCCCACACGACTTAGACCGTTCATTGCTAGGGCCACCCTACCTGCCAGATATTCCAAATGAGGCGTCATATTGAGGCCTACACCTAACCTAACCCCTAGGTAGGTTACCACCTCACTTGGACGTATCCTCTGACCTTCTATGTACATCGTTATAGGGTGTGCCCTATCAGTCTTTCCCTTAAGGAGGATGGCTTGAGTCTTAGCAGCAGCCATCCTCATCTTCTTCCCCTCACACCATCTAGCGACTAGGCTGGCGCATCGCTCTGCTTCTCTCTTGACTCCAGCTCTGCTGTTGGAGGCCACCACAGCAGCTAGGTCGTCAACGTAAGCAGTGGCAGGAAACCGCTCCTCCTCTAACACTCCCAGTAACTCATCAAAGACGAGCTTCCATAGAGCAGGACCAAGCACCGATCCCTGAGGGCAACCTCTCTCTATGGAAGCTTCTACCTCGTAGTAATTGCCTCTAATCTTGACACTTCTATCCTGGAGATAACTTCTTACTAATTTGTATAAGTTACTAGGAGCATCATACCTCTGCAGCTGCTGGAGCACGCTAGGCCACCATACGCTGTCAAAGGCGGAGGATATATCGAAAAGAAGCAACATGACATACCGCTCCGCCCTCTCCTCAACATCTCTGCGCACTCTCAGCAGGGCATCAGCGGTTCCTCTGCCTCTGGTTGATCCATATTGCCGTGGATGACTTGCTCTAGCGAAAACAGGCCGTAAACTAGTCATCATGAGGTTCTCCAGGACCTTGCTAATCACAGGGAGGAGACATATAGGTCTATATGAATTAGGGAGTTGTTTGTCCCTATCTCCTCCCTTGTAGAGTAGTCTCAAATCAGCGATCTTCCATCTTCTTGGAAAGTATCCCATATCCAGACATTCATTGAAAATACTCAACAGCCGGTCTTCAATATACGTGATACTGTTCCTCAAGATCGCTGCATCTATTGCATCAAGTCCTGGAGCACGATTAGTCTTCTGCTTATCCACGGCAATACGAAGATCGTGAATGTCCCATGGTGGGCACAAATCTGAACCAGGTGGATATACCGTGGTGCGTCTCACAAAATCATCATTTTCGCTGTCCTGGGTTGGGTCATCTCTGGGATATATTGCTTCAATGAAAACATTGGCAGTTTCTTCAAGGGTGGTTGCCTCAGTATTATGATACCGCAAGGCTGCAATAGTCTGCATCGGGGACAACTTACCCAATGCTACCCTATACGGAATACCCCAGGGATTCTTCGAAGACTCTTCAATGATGAAATCATCCCAAGACTTCCGCTTTTGTGAGCGAACCTCGTTTCGGTATATCCTGGCTTTTGACTTGTACTCATTGCGAAGTACAGTGCGCCTCTCTTCGCATCTGCACCTCTGATATGACCGCCGGGCCTTGTAGAGGTCTCGTTTTAGAACAGTTAAGGCTGGCGTCCACCATGGGACAGGTCGAACCCTCGCCTTCCGGTGCTTGAGGGAGTGTTCGGCAGCATCACGAATGTTGTTGGTAATCCTGGACACCTTGTAGTCCAGATTGTCAACTACATCCATCTCTGCCGCTTCCCACTCCTCGTCTGCAATCACTCCTTCCAGGTAGGACCTGAAGACACTCCAGTCATTTATTTTAGTGACGAAACCCTTATCAGTACCGTGGGAACATCCTGGCTCATTTACCAGGCCAATTGCTATCGCAACGTGATCGGAACTCGTATCAGATCTGAGAGTCCAATCAGCAATATACCTCGTAAGCGCAGGCGTGGCGATCGTGACGTCAATCCAACTCTGCCCCATGCCTCCAGAGAAGGTAGGGGTGGCAGAGGGTTCGTTCATCACGACAAGGTGATTTCTGCCTATGAAATTTCCCATTTTAGCGCCTCGCCTGTCAGTAATATTGGACCCCCAGACCGTGTTCCAGGAGTTGGTATCTGAGCACATGATCACATTCCTCATCTCTCTAATGATCGCCTCCATAGCGGATATGCTTTCTTCTACATCACTATTCACAGGTAGGTATGCCGATACCAATGTGAAAGAAATCTTGCCCCACTTAACGTAGCAAGATGCATAATCCGCCATGGTGTGTTGCCTCAGATCCATCACGTCAAGGTTAGGATTATTAATCACTATTGCAGCCCTGGGCCTCCTCTCTCCACTGCTCAGGGCTATAACTCTTGACGTGAGGCCAAACCCCGTAACCCTGTTCCCACGGCAGCTAGGTTCCTGGACCGCCATGATATCGTAGCGTTGTGCCATGGCGCGAAGCTCGTCAGCCACAATATGCCGGCGGCCCATATTCAACTGCAGGATGTTGAGTCTAATCATAGTGAGTTCTCCTCACTAATTCTTGAGATCTCTTGATGTGCACTGGGCATTCTCTACTTCCTGCCTGGTGTTTAGCCTTACTTTTTTGAACACCTTCCCTCACGCAGTTAACGCATGTAGGTGCGGTCTTATTTCCTTTTGCGGGACAGTTTTTAGCAATATGCCCACTCGCCGCACACCACTTGCATACTATGCCATTTGCCTCACAAGTAGCTTTTGTATGTCCATATCCCTGACACCTTAGACAGGGAGGAGCATCGGGGTAATCTAAGATTGTCAGTGACCACCAACCTCCTGTAATTATTTCCTCCTTGAGTAGATTATATCTTACCATTGGATGTACTTCTAACACCCAATTATTGGTAATTTTATTTCTAGCCATTGATGAGAACAATGGCTTTATATTACCTAATTGGTTCTCAGAAATAACGGCCGATTTTGCAGCCAACCTTTCCCATAGCACCCTTTCTAGATTTTCCGCACTCCATGAAAGGGGAACTCCTTTTACCTCCACTTTTGGTTTTCTTTTTAAGGCTAGTTTTGCCTCCATCCCAACTTCTTTTAATTTTTGCCATTCAATTATTTTTTTAGCATGGGCACCCTCATCTACACAAACTAAAACTGAGCCAGCTTTGGTCGCCCGTACAACTCTCGCCTTGACTCCTAGTTCAGTTGGAGAAGGCAGATTGTTGATGATGTCAGCTGCACTTTTACCTTGAGAAGCGATGGTAACATAAGTTGGTCTTGTAGTATCCATCGGTTTTAATGGAAGCCCTTTAACAATATCGGCCATCGTAGTCTGATGTGTAGACCTTTTCTTGGTCAAACTTTCCTCTGATATTGGTTTAGAGGCCTCGATCTCTTTGGCCACTTGTGGAAGAGCCTTTTTCCTTCTTTGCTTTTTCTTTACTTCCTGGAAACTTTCATTCTCCGTGGTCTCAATAATAGCGTGGGCATCGGCTAATAGCGGTTGTTCTTTAACGCATGGAAACTCCCGAGATGTCTGAGGTTCTGACAGTGGTCTTTGTATGGTTTTACTTTCCGACTTGAGTCCCTCGATAACCATAGGTACTGCTTTTTCCACTAATGCATTTACTATGATATCATACATTTCAGAGGAAGCTAATGTGTCCTTTACCACACGTTGTACTAAAAACGTTTTTTCATAGTTCTTATCATATATTGTCTCCATTATATCTATTAACTGCTGCATTTTCCCATTAACGTGCTTTTGTACCTTCGCACTCACGTTCCTGTCTGTTGCGTTCATGTAGACCCTGATGTTTTCTTTGATTCTACGTGCATCTTGCAGAAGACTATCGTCTACACGTTCTTTATCTGCTTCTTCTCGGGCGTCAGGAGATCCTTTCCTTTGCCTCTTTGCTGAAGGCCTTGGGCACTTTATAGCCTGTTCTTCCACCATTTCCTGCTCCATTGCTGATGCAATTTCATCAGCCATCTTACGCAATCCAAAATTAACAACTTTATACGTTGAAATAATGGGTGAACAACAGTAGAAGGAAATATTCAACACTCAAAATCTAACCTACGTTCGGGAAACTTATAAATTTCCTATCTTCAAAAGTAAGACTTTAATATGAACTTACCTTAGTGCTTCACCAACGTAATAGTCTCTAAACGTCCTTTTGGTTAGATTAAACCTTCGTGAAAACCACAAAGTTAACCTTAACCTCCACTGTTCACTCAAAAAGTTTATAAAATTAACTAAATAAACATAAACTAAAACTAAATCATGTTCAAAAAAAACTATAAAACACTAAAATAACACAAACAGTAGGAAACGATACAACAAAACTAACAAAACAAACTTGAAAAACACAAAACACTGAGAAGCACAATAACACTTTATCATAGGTAGATAACCTTCGCCTAGAAAATTCCCAGTCCAAAGTACTTAGAACAATAGTCAATGCCCCATATTATGTCACAAATAAGACCCTACACCATGACCTTAACATCCCATTTGTCCTCGACATCATCCCATCCAGATTCTCAAACTTTCACCAGAACCTTATCCATCATCCAAATCCTCTAGCTCAATCCCTATCCAGCTCCCACCATCCCTACAATCCCCCTCGAAGGTTAAAACGGCAGTGGCCGCGAGATCTATTGTAAATATTACGTACCACAAAATGGTCGTTCTTCTCTGGTCACCATATACAAAGGGCCTCTTGCCAAACCCAAGTCAGCATTATAGCCCATAATGCCACAGGAGCCATCTAGAAGAAAATAAGTTAGATTACAACTTAGATTAAATCTACTCGCAACAGAAAATTAGATGTTTAGTTATATGAGTGGCTTCATATCAAAGACTTAAGTCTGTCATTTTTAGAAAGTAAATTTTTGTTTTATATGTTCAACGCGAATTGTTTCTGATGATTTTATTTTAAAATGTCTAAGTTAAATAATGAAAAAAAAAATCATTAGAAACGCTTCAAATTGAAGCTATGCCATACAATATTGACTTTTTCTTAATTTTTTTAAAACGACCGATGTCCGTCTTTGATATGAAGCTACTCATATAATTTCAAACCAACTTAATCCTCATGTCAATAAATATTGTACTTTAGTAGTATGTTTATATTTCTACTATTATTAATTTAATTATCCGTTTTTTTTAATTCAATTTGAACAATAATATTGCTACTTCAATCAAAATATCTATGATTCACTACGGAAACAGCAACAAAAAAACATTTTTGAAAAGATTGGTAACAGGAGGTGAAAACTGAATACTTTACGATAATGTTGTCCCTAGAAAATCTCAGAAACCTAGTAGTGAAGTTCCTAGAAGAATCTCAAAATATGGATTGCATCCAAAGAAGATAATGCTTTCCATGTGGTGGGATTTCAAGAGTGTTATTTTCTGTGAGCTATTGCCATCAGGATAAACAATTGATTCAACTCTATAATGCTCACAATTAACCAAATTGGATCAAGAAATTAAAAATAAACGCCCAGAACTGGCAAATCGGAAGGGTGTCGTGTTCCACCAAGACAACCTGGATGGAACCTTTTGCCTAATCCTCCCTATTTCCCAGACCTAGCTCCAAGTTGCTATCACTTATTCCGGTCTTTGCAGAACTCCATGAATAGAAAGAAATTCCAAAAGGAAGAGGAGATCAAAAACCACTTGGATCAATTTTTTAACATTAAACTCCGACATTCTACTTACTAATAAACTCAGACATTCTATGAACATGGCATTATGCAGTTAGTGGAAACATGGAAAAAAGTCATATTAAATAATGGAAAATATATTGTAGATTAAAATAAATTTTATGTCTATAATACATTGAGTTTTATTTCATCTTGAAAGACCAAAGGACTCGTTTGCCAACCTAATATATTCTACTACTGTGAGGTTATTGTATCTGAAAATAATTCAGTAAATTTCCAATAAAAATCTTACTAAAAGTCGAAGAGGTTGAACCTTGATAGTGAAGCGTTGATTATTGTTCAAAAATAACTATACAAGCCTAATGACATGATAAAGAAAATATCGGAAGAATTTAAAACCGGACAATTCATAATTTTAAAAATATATAGAAGTGGTATAGATTATTTCAGTACTGGTGTAAAATTCCGCTTTTTAGTAGATTGTAAGTAAAATCAGCTAACCTGTACTGTTGATTTCACATTTACTAGGGAAACATGCTCCACTGCGGAAGTGTTCTCGTGAAATACAAGGAAAACTTCGGAATTGACATCCATCTTGTTTTGAAGTAACGCTTTCCATGAATAACTGAAATCCTCTTGCATGATTGCATATTGTTGAAGAGTTAACTGTACCTTCTGTAAAATAGAAAAAAAAAAGAGTATAATTTTACCCTATTAAGCCACAAGGAGGATAATGTTTTCAGGTTGGTTGTTTGTAAATATGCAACATTTTTTAAAGTAAAGTGGCAGGTGCTAAGTGACTTCCTTTACCACTGAATACCGATTATTACGAGTTGACAAGCGTACTGTGCCGTGCAAGAGCAGAAATTCCACGTACACAAATGGGTGTTCTTGCGAATAGCAGAAATCCCACAATCTTCTATAAAGATATTAGAAAATCTACAGCTGAGTGATTTCTTCTTTGGGGATTCTACAGTTGAGTGATTTAGGTTTCTCAAATAGCTAATTTTGTGTGTTTTTTTTATTGGACAACATGTATTTTCTTAAACAAATCAAATAGTTTTCCTTACAGGCTCAATAAACGTTCTCCTAGATCAATTAACTTCTTCAAATCTGTCGATCAAAAATCTGCTCAGTGAAATAAAATGAGGTTCTGTGAAGTGTTTAAGTTCAATCTCATAACCCTTCGAGTTGAAAACACTTGTTACTCGTTTACTGAAACATTCTACACACTTATCTTATTTAAGAAGAAAGGTAGTAATTACTGTTCCTTTTGCTTCCCGCAACTACTCTAACAAAAACAATTGTCAGGCCATGAGGAACAACTGAGAATGACTTTACACATTGCCGGCCTTAGGGTGGGGTAACCGGTGCAATCAACCGGATCGCCGACCAAGTGGGGCCGGCAGATCTTCAGGAGCCATTTGTTAGAAATATAAAAATATACAAAAGTATTACAATAATTCATTTTAGCCTATTAATAAAGCAACTGTATTTGAGAAATATCGAATGAAAGAAAATTCAAATATTACATAATATACAAAATCTTAAGAAATAAATATATATTTTTGAGGAAGGGGATGAGCCGGGAGAGGGGAGAGAGGTGCCGAATGTATAAGGCACTGATTTTACATCCTAATAAGAACTAATGTTGAATGGTAATGTAAGAATTCTTACTCGGTGGATGACAAATGTGGATATTGAATCGTGTAGATCTGCTATTGGGCTTAATTACGATATAACTAATACTTTTTAAAAATATTAAATCAGATCAAAATTTCAGTAAAAGCAAATTATTAAAATCCAAAAAACTCTACTCATCCATCTACTCCACCCAACTCTACTCATGTCCCATTTAGAGTAGACGACGATTTGATGATTTTATACATAAGCTTTTAACGGCTGTTATATCTAAGATGTTAAATACCTATAAGCTTTTTGTAATTTATTTATAAATTTAAAAAAAGTAAAACATGAATCAAATGGGCTTTGGAAAACTTGTTATTTCAATTAAAAATTATAATTGATGATAATCCCAGAGCAAGTAATTTCAAAATAAACTCTGTATCCAACGAGCTCTTACCAAGATGACTGACAAGTACAGAAGCAAATACATATTCACATCCTGGTTGATCCTGACCTCCGTTTGGGAAGAAATCTACATGACCAAGAGCTCTTAGCAATCCAAAACCTGAAACAAATCATTTACGGAAGTCATATATTTTTACCAATCTACGAGTATCATTATGGCATTTATTTGACTAAGTTGATAGCCTGAATTACGTTGTGCAAATAATAAAAATACCTAACAAAACATAATTGTAATAAAAGCATAAAATATTTTTCTACATTGGTTGGATTTGGAAACATAAAAATGAGTATTAAACATACAATTAGATTTTTTTTTTATTCATAAGATTTACAAATGTATAAATTAAAAATACCTCCAGTAAATGTGCACAAGGTAATAATACAATCACATGAAAACGCTTGTTGAAAAACTACCCATTGGTAGCACTCTAATAATATATTTACATAAGTAGATCACGAGACCATCTTCTTTTTAGACGCCTTGGAGGTTTATCAAGTATCAAAGAGGAAACAAGGAATCCTTTCGTTTCAATGTTTTTTTATGAAAGGATAGGAATCTGGATTGGGCTAAATCGAAAACATATGGTACGGTACGTTAAGGTCGTTATGAATGATTTTATTTGTGACAAAGTAAGGAGCATTGAGAATTTTACGAAGGATTTTTGATTGTAAAGATTGGATACGAGAAGAAGCGTTGGAGCGTTACACATAGGAAATCTGACGGCTCAAACTGATTCACTCTCCACAAAAAAGTGCAAAATGCGCCTAAATAAGTTTTTTTTTTTTGTTTTTTGTTTATTTGATGAAATTTACAACTGTTTACAAATACAACTAGTAAATATACACAAATTAGAAATAATGACATGAACAGGCTTGCAGAGGTACTACCGAGTGGTACATTCCCTAAATAATTCTAGGTAAGAAGATGTCATCAGTCACGAGGTCATCTCCTTTTCAGACGCCTAGGAGGACTATCAGGAATCGAGGAAGAAGCAAGGCTGGAAACAAGGGGATTTGGATGGGGCTGGAGTTTGTCAGGAAAGGGTAGATATCTGGCTCGGGCTAAATCAGCGACATATGGAACATTAAGGTCTTTATGAATGGTTTTATTTGTGATAAAATATGGAACATTAAGAATTTTGGATTGTAAGGACTGGATACGAGAGGGATTCGATGGGTTGGTGGAGCCCCAAAGCTCAACTCCGTTTGTTCACATATGTTAATATAATTATCTAGATAAGTCTTTTGTAATTAATTGAAAGTTTAGAGCGTTAAAGAAGTTTTCGATTAAAAAAAGAACTTATTTTATCCATACCTCTTGGCAAACTTGGTAAAGTTTTGGTTATTTGTCAAAACTAACAAACGTGTTAATTAAAACTTCCATTGAATGAACTTTATAGGTTTATTCTAACTCAAATATTTCTTTACCAGAAAACCATTTGTTTTGCTAGTACGTTTCACCGTTTTGTACTCAGATTCCATTTCGGATACACAAAAATCCAAGGATAAAAAAAATTGCTAGACTGAAATATGTGTGTAGTAACGAAGTCAGTAACCGTTGTAAGAACCAAGTTGTAAGTTGTAAGTAACCAAGAAATATTATAACACAACAATAACCAAAATAAATATGTATAATATATATGTTACTGTAACCTTCTGTGAGTAAAATTGAACCATCGGTATGTATAACATCTACAAATGCAGCATCCTCTTTGCTGAGAGCAGGTAAAGATGTAAAACTTTCTCTGAAAAGTGGAGAAGCAGGATCCAAACCTAGAAAACATAAGGAATAAGAATATAATTTTAAAGTAAATAACGTCAAAAACGTTAATATTCAATCAATAAAGATACAGTTATGATAAAGAAGTAAATTTAATTTCAACCTTCTTTAATTGTCTTTCAAGTTGAGGGTCCTCAATCTTAATTCTGTATTGGCTGTGTATATCATTTTTTTTTTTATTTTTATGTTTTTGATATTCCAATGCATTCATAAGTTATCAAAAGTTAATCCACACATTATATGTTTCATTTATGATGCGGAGTATATTTTAGAATAAGACTACATACGTTTTAGTTTTTTAGTAAAAAAGAACCAATATACACGTTTTATGATATAGATTCGCTTGGCTTAATTACACACAATAACATCAGATTGCAATTAATGGAACAAGTTCCGAATTGCTACTCCTTAATGGTGGCTAGTGTAATGATCACTTTAAACACTCTGTAGATTGAACCCCGAATCAGTCTGAATGTTTCCGTAAGTAGACGTAGCCGACCGATCTCCAACCTTTTCCATTAGGACGTTTACGGGAACACGAGATTTCAGTGACCTTAAAACCAGCTGCCATGATTGAGTAGCTATTTGGAACTACAATCTAATTCTTATTAACTATTTATTTTACAACAAAATGTTAAATACCTGTAATACGGCCCAATTTGATACCTCTCTGAGATAAAGATCGCCCTGCATAACCTGCAATATGCGCTCCAAGACTAAATCCTATTATGTGTATTTGGCTAGGAGAGGTTCCTATTTGAAATGAAAATGGTATTTAATTTCTTAAAGCAATAGTTAAATAAGAGAAAAAAAGATGAAACTATCGAATAAGGATTGGTGACTTTTTCCTACCGTAAATACTTGATTGTAAAAAATATATCGATGTTTTTGTAGCACTAGGTTCTTTTCATGGAAGTTGAACTGTTGAGCAGTTTTATTTTACATAGATTAGGTTATTGGGCACGAGAATATTACTAGAAGTACGATGGGTGCATACATACAGGAAATACGAGGATACTGCAGGTTATCAGATTATCCTAACCTGTGTGGGGAGGTCGAAATTTATGTCGCACGGAGTAAAAGTCAACCCTCCTACTTATTATTCAAATAGACACAGATTAAAATAAAATACCTTATACCACCAATGTTTCTCCTTGTAACGTTAAAACTTGTTATGAATGATTAGTGATAATTTTCTTTGAACAGATAGTGAACTATTGTTGTTAACGCCACAGCGTTAATTTATTTTATTTTTATTTTCAACATATTTGGTTAATTGTTATTTTGATTTTTCTCATAAAATGAAACTAATTAATAATTATATGTATATATTCTTAGGCCCATGGCTTATTTTGTGTAGATTCAACAGGTCAATAGTTTACACTTAAATTGGTATCGATTGTAGCCCTGTAAACAAGTGCTAGGGTTCAAGTCATAAGGCGGTAGAATTGACAATAGACAGTCTGACTCCGCCCGACACTGAGCTGAGTACTGCCAACTTCAACACTGCCCACTGCAGTTCTACTGTGAAGAGACGTACTTTTCTCGTCGTGCTCGCCGCTGCCCATTTGCAGATTTAATTATATGAGCGCTCATATTGAACCTACGTTCAGTCGCTGAAGAAGGATTGGAGTGCCAGCGGTTCGTCCATATCTACGACCGTCACCTGCTTGCGACCACGTAAACTTGTTCAACTTTCATTGTTTGTTTTCGTTTAGTTTTGTATAATTCCTAAATTAGGTTTAATATATATTTGTTAATTTTTCCATAATCAAACATCCAACTATTTTATTAGATATTTCATAATTATTATTAACATTGTATTCAGCTTATCATTATTTTCATTTTAGAAGTTATTACTTTATTTTATCTATTGATGCTAGAGTAAAATTCATTTTATTTTTTCACTATTAGTAGGTATAAATGTTTCAAAATACAGTCCACTTTCTTTTAAATTACAATCAACTTAATTTGAATAATAGTTAGGCTTCATTCGAAGTTGATTTGAACTAAGAGGGAGCTTAACACCTGTCTATCCGAAAATACTATTATCCTCTACAATCTAGATTTACAAGGATGCCATTTGGGTTTTTTAATTTCTTTATCGATCGGAAATTGATAATCATGACTTTCATAAAGTTTTTCGTACGGTTTCATAACATATTTTAATTTTTAAGGTTGAACTCAGATGTCCAGAGCTACTCGTCACGTATGTCAAAGAAATAAGTCTTCCACATCATCCTTATCTACAAAGATCGGTCAGATTGCAGCTCACGTTAACATTTTTTTTTTTTTTGAAATGCAAGCATGAAACTGTCCGGTTGTCACTGAACAATATTACTTCACATCTATCAATATCCATTTTATTAATTATCAAACTGAATAACAGATATATCCAACAGATTGTAAAAGAAAATTAGAACGTGAGAATGAATGATATAACATGCATCCATCATTTAACCACATTTATTAAACATTCACTTTCTTGAATTAAAAAAAAATTGACTTTCACTACTATCATTCTCACCGGATTGATTCCCACGACTAAGATATAATACTGCTATGCAGTAGCGGGTTCAAGGTTTTATTTTAGGGGGGGGGACTTTAAAAAAAAATACTGACTTTAATTACAGGAGCAATAACTATAAAATTAAGAATTTTTTTTTTCATAACACGCGCTTATATTTAGTAACTGAAATTACCATAGCGCTAGTAGCAATGCCCTTCAATGTGGCAGACTGTACTAATATTCAATAAAACAATAAAAAAATATCTAGTGTGTTCACTCACACGATTTTCCTACCTATTCCAGAAACGTTTTTATACCTTTACATTTATTCATGAAGAAAAAAAAAAAGAATGAACTAGATTAATTTTCCTGAAAATTGATCAAAGAAAAGATTTGAGTACGATTTATTTGATAAACTAAACCAATGTAAACCGGCTTAAGGTAGATGTAAAAATTTCAATACTCACTAATATTGCTGATCAAAAACTTATTTCCATAGCTTGGTATTATCAACCAATAATTTCCGTTAAAAGTAGAGGAAATAGTGAAGATTGTGTGATGCGGGTAACAGATTTTTTTACTTTCACTTAGTCATCTGTATTCTCTCATTCACCCCTTTCTGACATTAGGATATGAACCCGTGATCTTTCATTGGAAATTAAATAGCTGTAACTTCGTTAATAGTTGTCCAAAACGAACGATTTTTATATGGCTTTGTAGGGAATTTCATTACCTTTCAAACGACAGCCAAAATGTGTTTTTCGGACTCAGGGGGCTCTGAAACGTATAGATCCGTCGAAAACGGCATATCGGAAATTTGACATGATTGCAATACTTTCCTTACCTATTATAGGCAGGAAAGTAATAAGTTAAAAAATGTGTAAAAAATAGAATAAGCTGTATCATTGCTAATACTGGTTCGATTTCGATGATTTTTTTTTGTAATTTAATTACCTTTCAAAAGTTTTATTATGAATTTTGCCGTATAATATATAATTAGGAAGTTAGGCCCACTAGCATTTTTCTTTTCTTTATAAACTGTATTTTCTCGGATATTTAGTATATATACGAAAATTGAAAGGAAAATTATTAGAACATTATAGGAAACTTTAATCAAAATCGTTAGAGCCGTTTTTGCGCTACAGTCTATAGAAAAACATGTGTTTCATTTATTGCGCGCAAGCTATTGCGCATGGAGCACCGAATTTCTGTCTCAGGCATCAGTAGTCAAACCCTACAAAATAAAAAAAGAAGCAACAAAATTGGTTCAGTAGTTCCCGAGAAAATCTTGGCACAGACAGAAAATTTGGTCTCAGGGGGCTCTGTAAAGTATAGATCCGTCGAAAACCGCATATCGGAAACTTGACCCGATTGCAATACTTTCCTTACCTAGTATAGATAGGAAAGTAAAAAAATAAAAATAAAATATCTGAAGTATGTGCGATATAATTAAGAAAGAGAACATGGTGTGATTAAGTATTGTTCAGTGATCACTCAGAGAAAAATATGGACCCATAATATAAAAATGTTTTTCTTTAAATTTTTTTGAAGGAGGCGATTTTTTCAGCGCGATCGCTCTCTCTCTTAAGCCCGTCAGTGCTGCATTGGACTATAATTATTGGGTACGATAAAAACCAAGCATAGGGCGTTCAAAAATGATATATTGACGGAAAAAATGTGCTTCCTCGCCATAAAAACACAAGTATGTCGAATGACGTTGAGCCATATAAGTGAACTCGAGTTTCGATTCTATTAGTAGGAGTGCCCAGAAGGGGGTGTCATAGTACAAGTAGCACCATCAAAATTTTTGAGAGGGGCGCATTTTGGCGGGGATTTGAATTATTGAGGGGGCACATTTCAACAAGGTTATGAATTTTCGAAATGAAAAGGTTTAAAGCAAAATACAAGGAAAAACGGAGAACAAACTGCAGGATATGTAATTGTATATAATCTACGATTTTTAAAATTCTACTATTGCTTACACTTTTTAAGAAGAAGAGAAAAATAAAATATCTTAGTAGGGGTGGGGAAAGTACATGCGGCATCGACCTTGGAAGGGACGGGCATCTCCGGCAATTAGGATGGTCTTCAATCCTTATTAGATAGTTTTGCTCTGTTTGGATTAATCATACTTACCAAGGGAAATCATATCCAGCAATATTAGTTCAAGCTGCTTTCCGACAAGTTGAGTGTTAGCTGCCGAAAGTCTGTAAGACGGCCCCTGTGCTCCTTTTGCCCAGTCTAACAAAATAACGTTACTGTCTTCCTGTTTTTCATCATCACTCATTAGTATAATTCAATATTAATTCTTCTAATCAAGTCTGAAAGAGAAAGATAGGACTACACGCCCCTACTTAAATAACAATTTAATTTTAAATAATTTAGGAACTCATTCATATTTCCGAATTTAAAATAAATTGTATACCTACAGCGTTATCTCAGTTCCTGATGGCCAAACTCTGGGACGTGATTCTAGATACAATTTACAACAAAATATTTCATTTGTAGTAAGGGCCAATTTGGAACGGAAGAGGAGTTTAAGTCCAATTTTGTCTTGTCATAAGGTGGTCACGTGTTCTCTTTCATAGGAAGTAATAACATCCAAAATATTTAATTAAGGTAATTAAAAATTGCCTCATTGCCTCAAGATAAAATTTCTTAAAATGACGTACTAGATTTTTTTTTTTTACTTATACGTAAATATTTTAAGTAAATATAATATTGGTTATTTCGATATAGATGGTCTAGGGTCAATCTAGAGTCAACGATAACTAGAAAAAACGAAATTGAAGAAGAGATTAAGGTTAGACTGAAGACGGGAAATGCTTGTTATTTTTCTGTGACAAAACTGCTTAGCTCGCTCCTCTTGTCCCGCAACTCAAAAATTAGAATCTATAAAACCATTATCTTACCTACAGTTCTTTATGGATGCGAAACGTGGCCGCTTACATTAAGGGATGAGAAGCGTCTTAAGGTTTTTGAAAATAAAGTATTCTGTAGAATATTCGGACTGAAGAAGGATGAGTTAACCGGAGGATTCAGACGGTTACACAACGCCGAACTGTATCCGGTTAATATAATTGAGGTGATTTCATCAGGGCGAATCAAATGGGCTTGTAAAATTGTTGGGCTTAGTAACGAGAAAATTCCTAAAAGGTTAATGTTTGCTGTGCCGAATGGTAAACGTCCGAGGGGTAGACCGCAGCGAAGGTGGGAAAATTGCATTAAAGCCGATCTGAAGGGAATGGGTTTGGACGTCGAACGGTAGACGGAGGTGTGTAATAAGCGATTGTTGGTGTAGGCAATAAAATTAGTGTTGGCGTCGGAATCGAACCTTCGGGTTCGCTAAGCCTTTTTTTATTATACTTATTAGGATTAAAAACATTTAGTTAGTTATTTAATACTATAAGCATCGACGATTCCCACAATAGATATCTGTTTTATAAACAATGGTTCATTATCACCTTAGCTAGTAAATTTTTATAAAAGCAGCATTTTATTAATGCGTAAAAATTGTATTTTCATAATTAATTTACTGAAATATATATCAGTTCAAAATAAAAAATAAATAAAATAAAAAGAAGGAATTAAAACTTTGTAATAATTATTCGGTTGCAATTTTTTGCTGAAAATACAGATACTTTGGGGTGACAGAATATCAAATAACATAATTTTAAACTTAAACAGAGGCGAATCTCAACTCTATTCTAAAACAAACCTCAAATAAATTGATATGCAATAAAACGTTATTTAACAAGAATGTTGGAGCTTATTTAACAAGGACAAACACCACAAAAAGTCAATGAAAGCTGATCTGAAGGAACTGGGTTTGGACGGCGAACGGTGGAGGGAGGTGTGTAACAAGCGATTAGTGGTGTCGGCATCGAACCTTCGGGTTCGCTAAGCCTTCTTATTATTATTATTATTATTAACAAGGATGTTTTTATAAAAGTGGGGTATCTGTAGGGTGCTAAACAAACATCGTCAATAATCTACGATTTAATGAAAAACACAACAGCTCAAACAAGTAGTTTGACCGCTCAAATGTCACCTTTAAATGATTTTGGCAAAGACAAATTCTGCTGGAATTTGAGGAGATTTTGTCTAGTTTACTAAGAAGCAATTTTTAATTACTTGAATTTAACAATTTTTGTATCATCGCTTCCTATGAAAGAGAAAACGTGACCCCCCTTAAGAGAAGACCAAATTGTACCTAACATCTATTCCGTTCGAAATCGGCCCAAACATCAAATGAAATTCTTTGTTGGAAATTTTGTCTAGAATCATCTCCCACAGTTTAGAGATGAAGAACTGAGACACCCTGTACATCAGGTCTAATGAACATTCCATCGCAATAAAAAATTATGGTTCTTAATTTCTATAATACGGAGTATTACATAATTAAATAACCACCTGTAAAATGAACTTAATATGTAAATATTGTAACGTATATTACCAAATTTAACAATTGTTCAACCACTATGCGTGCACTTATATCCTTTGAACTGCCTTTGAAACCGTGAATAATGAATTTTGTTGGTTTAGCTGTATCAAAATGTGACGATACCAATGACTCTCTCCCATCAGTGTATGATATGCCTTCAGACTCTTTTCCACGTTTGTATAAATAAAATCTAAAAAAAAATGTAGCATGAAATTAATAAAGTACGAGATAAAATATAGCGATAAAATATGAGAGATGAAATAAAAAAGGCACTAAGGTGGAAAGAAAGACGTATTTGTATTATATTACCTAGTATCGAGGTCTTTAGGATCTTGAGGACCCTTTTTCAGTAATGGACCATCAACTGGAAAACAGCCTAGTAGATCTAAAAAAAAAAACAACGATGCTCATCATAAAATTAACAAATGTACAATATAATTATATAAAATACATACCTAATTATGATATGTGTAGATATATTTCACTTAGCTTATATTGTTCTAAAGCAATTTGGTAATAACCAAATCATTGTCATCTCTAAGAAAAGATTTAAAATCAGAGGTTCCCATAAGGAGGTTTCATGGAGCAAGACGGGATTTTGACTTTTTGAGGAGGCCGAAGTTCTATGGTTCTGTTATAAATTTTCGGACTAAAGAACAAGGGTAAACGAGAAACATACTGCATCAAGTGTAAGTGTATATGATCAATGAATTTTTTAATTTCACCTTAGATTACTCTCTTTTTAAGTAAAGGTGACCAATAAAATATCTTGGAAGGAGGGGGGGGGGAGGCAAATTCTTGAGTCATCGGCCATGGAGAGGAGAGGAGGAGGATGACACTTCTGTATGAAATCATCATAAGCTAACACCTCTTTACAGAAAAGGAGTTGATTCGCACAGAGCAACCGCCATTCTAATATCGTATTTCAATTTATAATTAATTCCAATAAGGAATGAAGGACTACCATGATAAAATCCAATAAGGACTACCATGATTAAAGTATACCAAGCTCTGATCGGCGCAAAAATAGATTATGGTAGTTTTGTCTACGGTTCTGCCCGAAAAAATGCTCTAGCCAAGCTCGACTCCGTGCACCACACTGGAATACGCCTTGCAACTGGAGCCTTTAGAACAAGCCCAACCCTGAGCATTTGTGTCGAATCTGGCCTTATACCACTGCACTTTAGAAGACAGAAACTTGCAATAAACTATATTACTAAATTATACCCGCAAACTTCACACCGCTTCCATAAATATGTTTTTCAATCTAAATTCTCAAAAAGATTTAAAGAAAAAAGGAATACCACATTACCATTGGCAGAAAGAATGTCTCTTATTATAAATAAACTAAAACAAATAACATTACATGAAATAGAAAAAGAAACAGCGCCTTGGACCTATATACAACCTAAATTAAATCTCCAACTCACCCAATTCACCAAAGATACTACATTACCTGCAGATTACAAAGAAAAATTCCAAAAAATAATCATCACGTTACCTGAACATCTTCTAATATTCACCGACGGATCAAAATCAGATACATCTACTGCTTCAGCCTTTGTCACTCCTGATACTACCTACAAATATAAATTACACCATCTTTGTAGTGTTTACACAGCAGAGATTAACGCCGTAGCAATGAGTCTCCGATACGTCATGAAGAAGCCAGTTGCAAATGTGGTTGTGGTATCGGATTCCCTAAGTACTCTGAAAGCTATGAATAACATGTATCCAGACCATCCAGGGATACACTGCATTCTAAGTCTTATAAAAATGCTTCATGGAGTTGGAACAACTGCACATTTTATCTGGTCGCCTGGCCATATAGGAATTAAAGGAAATGAAATGGCTGATAGAGCAGCAAAGGAAGCTCTTACTCTTCCAGGCCGCGGTAAAGTTTTTTTGACACCATCTGAACTTGCACGACCTCTGAGAGAAACCATATTCCAAGAATGGCAAAGACGGTGGGACAACAGCGCACCTAGCAAATTAAAAACAATAAAGAAAGAGGTGCAACCGTGGACCAGCTCCAGACGCAGCAGTCGTAGAGAAGAGGTCGTCCTCACGCGGCTGAGGATCGGACATACTAGACTGACTCACCTCCACCTCATAACAAAAGATTCTATCCCCCGATGTCAAAAGTGTAACCAATCACTAACTATAAGACATATTTTGGAGGAATGCCCTTTTTACACCGCAAGATTAGAAGATTTTGGAATACCCCAGAATATATCAGCGTCCCTGGGAAATCAGGAAGAAATGGTTACCAAAGTCATCAAGTTTATGGATAGTGAAAGACTTAAAAAACACATTTGACAGGCTTTTTTTTATTTATTTTTTATTTATTAATTTCCTTTTTATCTATTTATTTTTATTATATTTTCTCTTTTTTTTTTTTATTGATTCTACTGCTATTTTTTAAAGTTTATTTATTTATACATTTTTTATACATCTTATTACCTATAAATGTCTATTATTATCCTTAATTATTTATTTTATTCTATCAATCCATTTCTTTATCTATTTTATTTATTTATTTATTTTTTATTTATTTATTTATTTTTTATTTATTTATTTTATTTTATTTTTTTTGTACCAATCATCCAAATAGTATTAAATGATGTTATTTAGTTGATCGGGCGCTTATGACCTGGATGTTTTGCGCCTAGACATCGAAACAAACAAACAAGGAATGAAGAATTGGATTGTTTTAAATCTAATCAGATCTGCAGGAATCTGTTTAGTTGAAAATATAAACACATTAAACACATAGTTTTTGTTCGATTTCATTTGTACAACTCCAGGCGGTCATTATAATGATCAGCCTTTATGAAATCATTGTGAAGTATACATAACACCAAAAGTATATTATAAC